CTATAATGTTAGATGTTATAGCATTAATAAGACGAAATATATACACATATATACATACATAAATACATACATGAATACATATATGAATCAATAATATCCAGTTACATGAAGTAGCATGAAATATAATATTTATTCAGATTCTTAACAATTAATAATCTATTTGTAACATTTATGACAATAATCTATGCAATAATCCTTTTACTAAAAAAAGAAATGTTATAGTACAAATATCTCATTGTTGAAATATTTAGTTTTACTTGCTCCATTCATCTCCATTTTGAATGCACAGCTAGTCACGAATGTATTTTTTCCTTTGAATAACAATTCTTAAATATATTTCTGTTATGTACATTCCAATATTGAACAGTAGGGGTTTTAGTAAGGAAATAATCGAATCGATGGATGGATGAATAGAGGATGAACGTATGCATGGATGGGAGTACGGATGAACGAACGGGTTGAGGAGATGAATGACATCCATCCACCGTATGTTATTTTGGGATGAGACCGTTGAGAGGTGAAAGTTACATCCAATGATGTTCACAAGCTGGTCATGTGGATTGTGAGCACACTCACACACACACTGGTGAGATTCCTTCCTCGAAGCTAAGGTTATTTTCTTTTTCTTTTTCGTTTGAAAATATTGATCTAAATTCTCAATTTTACATTTTTGTTATTATTCTGATTTGTTTACGTTGTTATACAATAATGTGGGTTATTAATTCACCCACATACTCGGCCCAACCAATTCCTGCTTTACTAAGCCTTCACTGTCATCTCCACTTTTCCGTTCCCCCCCCCTTTTTTTTCTCTACTTAATCTATTTTTAAGGAATTGTAATTTATTTTTTATTTTTTATTTTTTTTCCTGGCTTCAAACTGTGGTGCAGGAGGAATAAGGAGGAAATAATTAGGTGTGTACTATTTTTTATTTTTTTATTATTCCCCCTTCACTTCATTTCCAGTTGTTACCACATCAAAAGTGTGAAAGTCAAGGCGTGCTTGCACAAGGCTCAGCTGCCTCAAGAAAATGCAACATGAAATTTATATAAAAGAAAAAGGAATTAAAAAAAAGTTTAAAAAGTAGGCCTCTGGTACCGCAGATGTGGGGGTGAAAAAGGCGAAGTGGCATGAAACTGCAGAAGAGGAGCCCTTAGAAGCGGTGAGATGCTGACCTGGCATGGTGACCTGGCATTGGAAAGGAGGAAATCATTGGAGTAGCTACCTTGCAGTTGGTGACGTAGTTGACCGCACCCTTAGTTATCAGGTATATTAGTTAGTAAGTTAGTTACTTCATTCTTCTTTGCCGCAGATTCTGTACGTTCGTTCATCCATCCAGGCCTGCACGGAAAAGCGCCAGATGTTGGGAGCGAAATACGCACATTCATCCATTCAGATGTTCATTAATCCATCCATCCCTCTCTTTGGTCACAAAGTGACCATGAATTCCCAATACCTGCCCAACTCCCCCCCCCCTCTCTCTCTCTCAGTATCTATATATATATATATATATATGTGTGTGTGTGTGTGTGTGTGTGTGAAAATAAATAAATAACTAAAGGGAGGTATGTCACATATTGTTCGTTTTGATTACTTCATTTCCCAGTCACTGTTCAGCCAACCTGGTTTCCATGGTGGATTGCAGAGGTCACAATTCCAAACACTGTAGTGAGTCATGAATCACATCTTCTTCTTCTTCTTCTTCTTCTTCTTCTTTGTTTTTATCTATATGATGTGTTGAAAATGTTGAATGGTAGGAAGTGGGTGATAGAGACAAAAAAGAAGAAGAAAGAAAGAAATAAGGAGTGTAGAATAAAACTTATTGAAAAAGTAGTTTTAGAAGTTAAAAATAACATAGTTTCCTCATTTTCTATACATATGTAGTGTGAGAGAGGGTAGGTCAGAAAATTTTAAATATTTCACTTTCGAACTTTGGGATTTTGATGTTCATGCATAATTTTGATAATTACAAAATACTTTAATTTCTGCTCCCTTTTATTTATTTTTATCTACACTTTCAGTTAGAAGCTTTTTTTCAGAAGAAAGCAGATGTTTTGCAACTTTGGGCATGACCTTTCTTTATTATATATCTCTCTATATATACATATCATTGGTAATGAAACAAGACTTTATATCTCACAACTTAATCCAGTTTAACTTATTAGCTGAGTGCTGTGCATTCACATCTTCATTGTGAGGGATCCATAAAAATTAATTTAATCATGGACATTTTATTATTATTATTATTATTATTATTATTATTTGTCTTCATGTATATATATATATATATATATATATATATAGATTTTACCTGCAGCAGGTTTGATGGTCATGAAGAGAGAGTGGAACACAACATCAGGGGAACACAAGTGGGCTTTCATAACCTGGTCATGGTCATTCCGAAGTCTTGCCTCACAACTTCAATGTGGTGTGTGTTCCCACCCCACATGGCTTCTCAGAGGCCACGACTACTTTGCCCCATTTGGTTGCTAATCCTACGGCAAGCTACTCTAACATACACACCCTCAGCGGAGTAGAAGTGAAGAGCAGCCAAATACTTGTGGGTGATGGGGGATGGGGGGGGGGGGGGGGCAAGGGAACAGGACAGGACAACAGTTCTGGCACACAACACACAAACCTGATCTCTGCCATCTCACCATGTCTGTGGCAGATTCTAACAACCTCCAGCCTCAAAATACAACCATCTGCTTTGCTTGCTCCCGTTCATGCTTGTTTGTTTACTTGCTTACTTGCATGATTGATTGGTTGTTGTACTGGGTTCTAGCCCCCTGGTTGATTCCTTCGGTGACACAGCTCCAAATCAGATGTGTAGATTATGTGATGCATTGCTGCCTTCTGGAACATGCATCTCTATCCATCCCATCTCTTCCATACTCACTACTTTTGTTTTCTGTCTGTGTCAATGGTGAGTGAATGTCACATGTGGAGAGTCCTCCTTTTGTGACTCACTTCCCAATTATTATGTAAAGATGACAAGCACACTGTGGCTTTCACCTCTCATGGAATGTGCCTTGAATATTATTATTATGGCCCCTTGTTTATTTATTTGATTTTTGGAAAATAGAAACCTTGGAAGTCTGATTATTGATGGTCTCTCCAGTTGTCACAACTTAGATGATGGGTTGTATATGACCAACTAAATAAGTAAATCAATTATTAGTAATATTTAGCACTTTGAAGTTTGGCAAGTAGACATTTGCTAGTTTGATCAAATCTTATTTTGTTGTCGCACTTGCAAAAAGTACTTTTTCTGATTTAACTTATTTTTTTTGGGTAGTTTGGCTGGTTTCTGTGTGGGTTTTGTTTTATTAGTATTTTTTTGAATTCATTCCTATGTTGTTATAGTTTTCAATGATATGCTTCTTGAAAATAAGATGATGTGACAAAAGAAAAATATTGTGAAAAAATAAATCATATGTAATGATGTTTTTGCATACAATGTGTATGTATCAAATCTCAGATTTTGGTATAATGATAGAAACATCATGATGATCATCATTAGTTGTACAACAAAGACATACCTCCATATGAATAATGTTTTAAAATCAGAATATAAGAAATAAAATTGTCTTTCATCTCTTTTTTTAAAAGTGAAAGTTTCATTTTTTAAATTTGATTTTATATAGATAACTTACTTACTTACAAGTGAGTATGTGTGAATATATATTTATATATATACAAACATATTTCTATATGTGTTTACTTGTAGACATAATTGTGATCATCTTAAAAAATGTTTTGATGACAAATATTGTAAGAAATTTTAGTTTGGTATTGAAATTACTTGTGTTGAAAGCATTGAATATTCAATTGGCCCATATTGCACTTAGGAATTTTAAAATTCCATTATTTGAGTAATGTAAATTCAGTTCTTTTTTTGTATATGTATTTTCAAAATTATCTAACTAACTTACAAAATAATCTCTAAACATAATCTAAAAACAAAATTCAAACAATCTATTTTACACAAAAAAAAATTGGTTAAAACATTTATTAGAAAAATTTATCTTTCACATAAATTTCAACAAAAATGCACCAGGTTTCAATTTTTTTAATGTTTAATATTGTTAATTTATTGGTCATTTAGTTCAATTGATTTTTGGAAGTGTTGTGTGTGTGTGGGTTTGTGTGGTTTTCATTGTTTTGCTTAGTTTTAAAGTGGTACTAATGAAATATGTTTGTATGATTCAATATTGTATTGCATATTATTATTATTATTATACTTATTATTATACTACATCAAAGCTAGTGCATGGAAAAGGAGGAACAAAGGGCAAAAAGGGCGGCAATACGACGAAGCCCTGGTAGGTTCTCTCTCGGTAGCAGTTGCAACGGTAAGTTGTCTAGTCATGAGGAGGATCAATGTCTGTCTGTGTGCGTGTTCCAGCCTGGCCTTACAACATCAACATCAACAACATCAACACCAACAACAATAACAACAACGATAACAGCCGCTGACTGCCGTTTTTGCTTCATCTTCTTCTACCACGACCACCATTGCCACATCTGGTCTGAAGCCTGCATCCGACACAAACTAACAAACAAACACTGGTGTCGAGCTCTTTCCCACATTATCGGACGAAGGAGTTGACAAAGGATGAGCAAGCAAGGCGAGTAAACCAAAACACACTACAGCCATGAAATGAAGGCTGTATAAAACACATGCTGCACAAGTAAGTGTAATTGAGGAAGTGGTGGCGCAAGGGGAAAGCCAAGTAGTTGGGAGATGGTGAAGAATCATGACGATGCAGGCACGAAGGTGAGATTAGCAGCGTTTGGGTGGGATGGATATTCAAGTGGCTTGGAAATGGAGGGACATTCAAGCTTAGGGTGATGATGGGATTGACGATTGGCGGGTGTACGATTGGCAAGAGACACACACACACAGAGCGCAAGACGGAGGCTAATGATGTAATGGGAGTGTGAAGGGGCACGGCAGTGAGTGGGGGTGAGCGGTGGCGATTGCTTCGCGGAGGAGGGAGGAGGGGAGGCTAATTTGGAGGAGAAGCAGAATTTTCATGGTGGGATGGTACTCTCGTTGATGACGGGCGAGTAATTTTGATGTAGTACTTTGTGATCAGGCCAGATGAAGGGGTGCAGCTGTCGGGAGGATCAAGCGGTGGTGGGGGCAAGACAGGAGGCCCCACGGAGTATGTCATGCCAGGATCTCGTGATGAAGCGCGAGTGCACTGCAGCCACAACCACCGCTGTGCCAAATTAACAGCGCCAGGCTGCTGCAAGGCCCTCGCCTGCACTGCAGAGGGTGTGATGAGTTAGTAAACCGCGTGCAGAGTATCTCTTCTTTCCATGTAGTATTCACCTTCCACCATACTTGACCATGGAGGACGTGGAGTCCATACAGAGTTGGACATTACTGGTAGAGTAGGAGCGATGGACGTTATGGCCCGGTCCGGAATTTCACGCAATTAACGGTCCGAGCCAATTAATTTGTGGACGGAACGGCAAACTTGCTGACTGCGGCGAATCGGCATCGCGCTCGCTTGCATTGCTTGTGAAGTGGAACACTTTATGATCTTTATTTTGCTAAGGTTTTTCTTTTTACCTTTGCAATTGCGACGTCATATCACCTTGGTTTGCTTAGCTTGCTTGCATCGCGCGGTTGCGGGGCCACCGTCCCCCTCCTGTGCATGCGTGCTTGCTTTGTCTTGCGTTTGGAGGGGTCCCTCCAATTTCCGTGGGCTGAGAGTGAGGATTTATAGTACTCCGAGGGTGGTGTCTATCTCCATCATTCATTCAGTGACCGGGCGCATCGAGCGCCTCAAGACTTATCATAATTCGCCAGGTCTGTTTGGGTCTAAGAGGTGTCTTCGTGATCGATGTTGTGATTGGCATTGTAGTTGTATTGGTGATTGATTTCAGCACTTCTAACTGCTGGAGAACGAAACTCGTGAAGGCAATGTAAATAGTCATGAGCATTAGAACTAGCAATATGTTGAACTGATCCCATCGGGAAGGGGGAACTGCATGTTTGCAGCGTTGACAGTGGCTGTGGTGGATTCTTAACAGGCAAATTGTGCCCAAGATGGCACCGAGTGATGCAGAGATAGCAATGTTGAAGGAGCTCGCCCTTGCGGCGTATGCTCCTGAAACAGATCATAGCCGAGAACTTCAGGTGAAGAACGATATGATCGACGATATCACCGTAGCCGATGGTGCTGTCGATGTTCGTGGACGTCCGTCTATCAAATCCAGAACAGGGAATTGGAAAGCGTGTTGGCCTATATTCGGTTGGATTACCTTTCTCTTTACAATTTTGTGAAATGGAAGAAAATCAATATCCTCTGCGTGATGAACAGTAACTTCATGATTAAATTATGACATGTTTCAGTCTCCGAAGAATGTGTTCAAAATTATCTTTCATCAAAATTTCGTGCGCTTCACATTAAGCTCGTGAAAGATGTAACAGATCAAAGGGGGGAAAACATTTGGTCTAAATTGTTTAGCTGCATGTAGAGTAGCTCAATGCCAGAATTTCACGTGGAGACCGTGGTTCTATTCATGCATGACGAATGGTCTGTTAAAGAGCGAACTTGAACTTTTCAGAATCGTTATTCAACGTCGTGAACGAGCCACACATTTAGTGGCAGCCAACCTGTCCCTTGTGTCGCTTGTTCATGAGACATTGATTTTCCAATGAGCATGTTCAACACGGGCATTTGGCCGATGTAATGCTGTTATTGTGAACATTTGCAGGATGCGAGGTATGTGAAAGAGTCGCGTTCTACGCAATCTCATCCAATTTAGTCATCTATCTCACAACAGTCCTCCATGAGGATATATCGGTTTCCGCAAGGAATGTCAACAACTGGTCTGGAACAACCTTCTTAACTCCACTAATCGGAGCTTTCATTGCGGACGCTTGTCTTGGACGCTACTTAACCCTTGGCACGTTTTTGTGCGGATATTTCCTGGTAAGCACTAGCCACCGTGCCAGAGATATTGATACATCTTCAGGTTCTGAAGCTGATTCGCAGTTTCGACGTTGAAAGCGAAGCGAACTGAAACAGAGTCAGTGCGTAGAGTACTTTGTTCATGTCTTGTGCGAGGTTCAGACTTAAACGAAAGAAATGGCCGATCGTCTAGTGAAATATTGACATCGATCGTCATTAGACAAAAACTGGTCGTTCCTTGTGAGACAAAATTTTGTCGGCTTTGGGAAACTCACAGTGAGTTGGGAATGTTTGTGTGCAGGCTCTAACTTTTGTCACAATGTCCGTAACATTACCAGTGTTGAAGCCCCCGGAGTGTAAGGAATTGACCTCAGCACTGACAAAATTATGTCCACCAGCAACGAAATTACAACGTGGCTTCTTCTACTTTGCACTGTACCTAATGGCCATGGGCGCAGGAGGAATCAAGTCATGCGTGACAGCTTTTGCAGGTGACCAGTTCGATATCACCGATCCAGTCGAAGCAAAGCGTAAAATGTCATTTCCGAACTGGTGGTTTGTGAGCATTAGCTTTGGCACAATGCTCTCAGTAAGCCTGCTAGTTTACGCGCAAGACACCATAGGCTGGTCGTGGGGATACGGAATCCCGACGGGCATCGCTGGATTGGCTACGCTGATCTTTTTCATCGGTACTCCCTTGTATCGAACTCATCATATCCGCGGAGGAAGTCCATTCACACGCGTTGCTCAAGTCCTTGTATCCGCTGCTCGAAATTGGAGGGTCTCTGTACCAACTAATCCCGAGCTTCTATATGAACTCGACGACAAGGAAGCTTTGACTCAGGCTCATGGCAAACTGCGTCGGCATACTTCTGGCCTCCTGTGAGACACTTTTTTCCATCCCAGCGCCGAACTCAACGATTTATGTATAAAGGAACACGTAAATATTAAGAAACAAGTACCTTTCAGCATGTTTAAAATCATCTGGCTGTGAGATCATTGTGGCATGTAGACATACATAACGGCAGAGTCGATAACACAATATTAGTGATTGGTCAGAGCTGGGTTTCGTTGTTCTATTAGTATTGATTGTTTCCAAATCTACATTGCATCTGCAGATTTTTGGATAAAGCTGCCACAGTTCAAGTCATGGAACACGAATGTGTGTTTAGGTTTGAAGAAGTGATTAAGCCTGATCCGTGGAGACTGTGCACAGTTACACAAGTCGAGGAGGTGAAATTATTGGTTCGCATGCTTCCAATCTGGGTGACGAACCTAATGTTCTCCGCCGTGTTTGCTCAAGTGGGCACTCTGTTTCTTAACCAGGGTACCACGCTGAACAGAAAGATGGGACCTAGCTTTCAAATTCCAGCTGCCTCGATGCCCCTCTTCGTCACTCTAACAATCTGCATATTTTTACCCCTATATGACAAATTTTTTGTATCTGCCGTACGACGAATCACAGGAGATAAACGTGGATTGACAATGTTGCAGAGGATTGGAGTTGGGCAAGTTATATCCACGCTCTCCATAACCGTTGCTGCCTTTGTAGAGATGAAACGTCTGCGCCTTGCGCATTCTCTTGGCAAAGACTATGTTGGACCTCTTCCTATGACCATTTTTTGGCTCCTACCGCAATACATGTTAACTGGGATCTGCGAAGTGTTCCTCTCAGTCGGTCAGATGGAGTTTTTCTTAGACCAGGCTCCAGAATCAATGCGCAGCCTGGGTAACGCTTTGTACCTAAGTACAGTAGCAGTAGGAAGTTTTCTTAGTAGCCTTTTAGTGTCCATTGTCACAAATATTACGTACGATTCGAATGGAGGCTGGATTGGGAACAACTTGAATGAAAGCCACATGGACTATTTCTATTGGCTTCTTGCAGGTTTGAGTTTGCTCAATCTCTTATTCTACACATTTTTTTCTAAACGGTATACCTATAAAGACTGTAACAAGGCAGATGGGAGCAGGAGGTCTCCTGAATCTCCGAGTTCCGACTCAAGTGGCACCCTTCAATCAGGCCACTGTCTGACAGTTCCCAACGCCGTGGCACCTCTGGGATACAAAGAGCTAAAATAGGAAGGGCTGGGCAGCATGTGGTTTCGACGTCTTTGATATCACTACAGTAGTGCTTGAAAGAGTAAGTATGTTGAGGCTCCTTAATTTCTATTGCAAGCTTCTTTTTCCAAGCTGCAAGTGTTGGCAAGAGTTTATCGTGTAATAGTAACATCAGCGACCAGTGACCGCTGGCTCTCCTTCAAAAGTTACCTGTATATTCAGGACTGTAGATGTATTATCAAGGTTCCCATCAAACTCTTAGAATTTTGGGTTGACGAGTTGAGGTAATCAGATGTAGAAGGCTATAATTGGCGTCTCCCGAGCCTGATGTAGAGTTCACCAATACGTATTCATAATGCCGTAATTATTTGATTCATTGTGATATTTGTTCTGGTACCAGTGCTTGATGCAACAACGCTTGAACATATTGCAATTATTTAGATGCAATTTTGATAGGATGTGGGTGTAAATCTCGAAAGGAAGTGCGCACTTACCTGGTGGCATTGAATGGTTTCTTTTTGTCGATATGATTGAATATTGTGAGACAAAGAGAAACTTGGCCTGCTAGTTTTAATTAGAGCTGTGAGCATGGAGATCGTCTCACATTAGGAAGCAGCAATAACAATTATGGTGAAATCGTTTGAACGTTGCGGTTCTTCAATTGTGATTTGTACAATTTATGTCAGATGAATTCAATCAGCGCAATGTAGTCTCGATGATTCACCTATATCCGCTCTTCATGATTCTTCGCATTTTCTCTGCTCAAGTTTCTGCTGCGTTCATTCCTCTGACATAAATAAAGAAAGAAACACCAAGTATTCCTATCTGACAATTTGCCAGTGCATTGTTGTGAGCTTTAATGTCCCTGTTTATGACTGCAGCACTCCTTTTTACAATCATTTCTGCTTCCAGGCAGAAAAAAGCTCTCACTTATACAGCTTCAGACCTTTCCCTTTGGAGAGGATTCAAGGAAATGCTTGTGGTCAAGAAGCATGCAATATTTACCTTGGTTCTACTCTGTGGCCGCTAATCAATATTGTGATCGAAACTCTCTCTCTCTGTTCATAACGGATATGTCAATTGGGATGAGAATTCTAAGGTTGTGTGCTAATTTGGATTCAGAACGATAGCAGACATAGAATCACAATATCCAAAAGCATCGCCTAACAAGGTACGGAACATTCTATCATGACCTAGTGTTTGTAAACACGAATCTGATGCCCTTGTTGAGCGAGCAATGTTTTACTGAGAGGGACATGCATTAAACACTTCAATAAGTAGGTTAGTAAACACTTCAGTAAGTAGGTTGCCAATACTAACAATTATGCCTAGTACTTCTAAGCATCGATGTGGTTGTCACATGTGGCAACATTTTAAGTAGGAAGGAGGATGTGGAGATGATAGAGATATAGATGCAACATTCTAGTGCAACAAGGAAAAAAAAAAAAAAAAAAAAAAAAACAAACAAACAAAAAAAAAAACAAACAAAAAAACAAAACAAAACAAAACAAAAAAACAAAAAAAAAGGAGAAAGAAGAAGCTGCAATAGGAGAGCCTATACAATGTAAAGATGGATTGATCTTGGACACTTTTAATGCAACACTAGGTGAAAGCTTGCCACCATAATTTTTTTTAGAAGCTTTTGAGGTTTTTCATTGTGTAAAATTAACCACATTTTGTAAGTTGACAAAGAAGATGTCAAGTAAGAAATAAAGTATCTTGAATAATTTTCATAAATAAGATATTTGTAAAAAAAAATTAAAATCCTATTTTTAATAATAGTTTTTAAACTTACAAGTTAAAGTAGGTTGTACATTTAAAATACAATATATACTTAGAAAATATTATTTTGTATTTAAAACCAACATTATAGCGATAGCTAAGAAATTACAATTAATTAATTTATTTAAGACTACTAGTGGGATTTCTTTAATCTAAGAGCATATTTCTAATTTTGGTACTTTTATATTATACTTATTACTAATATATGCTAAAATATTTATTTAAATTACTTTCTAAAAATTAAGAGATAAATCCATAATTATAAAGAGAGAAATAGTTAAACAATTGAATATATTATTAAGTGAAGATGACATCAATCCTATCAATCTACATTCTTTTTTTGTATTGCCTTAAATTCTACAAAATGATGGCAAACATCTTGTAGAGTAGTAAAATCTACTATAAAAAGTATAAAAATAATATAAAGAAGTTAATTTTTTTTATTAAATAAAAATATTATCTTTATACTGACATTTTTATTTGAATCATCATATATCAATACAAGCTATAAGAAGGGATTAAGAAGTGGACCACCTATACCTGCAAGCAATAAAATAGCCACATTGCAATACATAGTATTTATGTATTCTTAAAACACTAATCCTTTATAATATTTTTGAGCACCATTTAATTTCAATTGCATCAATATTATGCAAATTTAAGAGGAAAAAAATAATTAAATAATTCTAAATCTAAATTAATATATAATACATGATAATTGATTGATTGATTGATTGTTTGATTGATTGATTGTTTTTTTTTTTTTTTTTTTTTTTTTTTTTTTGTAACAAGTAAGTAAATAGTTACAAAAAATAAGTCTATATATACTTGAAAGTATTGTTTCTTGAGATTTCTAATGTGTACAACTCTAGATTTAATAGAGTATTATAATAATTGATGTTATTAGTCTAATTAAAACCAAAATATCTTCTTTAATTGTATAATTTAATTATAATATTTTTTAGATTTTAAATTAATAATAGAAGTTAATATTCAAATTTTAAAAAATAAAATTATGTATATATATATTCAAATACATCTTCTTGGCTGAAATTAAAGAAAATATTAAGTTTAGTCTTTGTAAGAAAATTTAATATTTCATCTTATATAAGAACTTTGTAGAAATATTTGTCTATATATAAAATACAAAAATTATTTAAATTTAAGATTTATTTTTATTTTTATAAGAGATAAATATTAAGATCAACATATTTTAATTTATTATAAAACTTAAGATTCTTATCCAATACAATGCAAGACTAATTGTCATTATAAATAATACTTAGTGATAAAAAAGAATGATTAAATTTAATAATTATAATTTGGAGCCACATAAGCTCTTCAATTGTGGCTACAAAAATGTCTAATATTTTAATTGAGAAAAAATCCAAATTTGATTGCTTAAAATTCTTCTAAGTTAAAATATATAATAAAGACCATTTAAAAGATGTAATTAAAAGTAATATGTCTAATATTTAGGATGCTTATCTAATCAACATCATTCCAACTACAAAATTAATGAGAAATAGAAAGATCCTAAGTACTAGGAGAAATAAAGGTTAGAATTGGCTAAGGTATTTTTTATAAATAATAAAATATTTTTTATTCTAAGTTAATGTACAAAGGCTAAATTGACCATAAATTGACTTAAATGATTAAAAAAAATAACTAAGTACATTGTATATATACAATAAGATACTAAAGGCTTCCAATAGCTTGTTACTAAAGTAACTTTTGTATAAGTTGTTTATCAATAGCAAACTCATTTCTTGCTTAGAATAGCAAATTATAGCTTTTAAAGAAGTTAAAATTACATGAGAAGTTGCCATGTTAAATTTATTCAAAAAATCAATAATATATTTATCTTAATATAATATAAAAGTTTTATGAGATTGATCTTATTGAACTTCGATGCCAAGAATATACTTAATCTTGTTGTTTGTCATAAAAAAATTAAAATATAAATCTTTAGAAGAAAATAAGTACTTTTGATTCTTTGAATAAAATATCATATTATTGATTTAGGAACTAAAGAGCAACATAGAATTATAAGAATGTTTAACATAAATATTCATATAAGAATCACATTAAAAAAAAAAAAAAAAAAAAAAACTTAATAATGCTACCAAATAACTTCTAATCAAAGCTTCTATCTTACATCAAGTATGCAAAGTTTTTTTTCAAGTTCTTAACATTTTTTAATAATCTATATACTTGATAAAAAAATTAATTAAATATTACCATTATATTATAAAATATAAAATTTTATATATAAAATTTTATTTCAAAAGGTAGTTATTTATATTCATTTGATAGATGTATTAATCATAGTGTCAATATCATGGATGACATCAACAATCTTTAGCAAAAGCTATAATGTAAAAAAGATAACAATACAATACAAAGTTAGAATAAAAATGCAAATACTTGTAGCATTGTTGTGAATTTAAGATAGAAGCTTTGTTTAGGAAAAAATTTAGGCATTATAAAAACTAGTGAAGGAATATATGATAGCTCTTTCTTTCTTTGAAATTCAAATGTTCAACAATTAGTATTATAAACATGGCAAGTTTATTTGTTGCATTTTTGAAATCATATTAGCTAGGAAGAATAATATAACATTTTATGCTTGAATAAAAAAAAGAGTAAACATTGGTTTCTTGAATCTAGAGTACTTGTAAATTAGATTGTGTTACAAAGAAGTACCATAATAAAAGAAGCATTTATATCTTGGATGTATCTTGACATCATAATTACTGTTCTATGAAGCATAATTGATGAATATAATCCCTAGCTAATACATAGGTTGTATCTAAAGCTAAAAATATAGATAAAGAGATCATCTTTATGATTGAAAAAATAACCAATGCCTTTTGTTATAAATTTAGTCATATAATGTCATAAAAAACTAGCATTATTGAAATTTTGTTAAAAATTCTATTTGATATTAATTAAGAATTTATTTAGAGAAAGATCAATAAATATATAAGTTGTATCATTTATTAAAGTTTTTTATTTTATATTTATAGTTATTTTCTAGTAAATAGCATTGAATATCTAAAAAGCTTTGATTATTAAATAAAGATCTATATTATAAATAATAAAAACTTAAAAATATAAGTTGATATTATGATTTTTTAATTGTTAGAATCTTCATATTTTTTATTTTGATATTTATTTTAGAAAAAAATATTATGATTATTAAAATAATTATAAATAAAATCATAAATATAAAGATAGTTTAATAATAGAATTATTCATCTTAAATAGCTAATAAAATAAATTAAAATTATGTTAACATAAGATCATTGTTATAGATACATATCTATTATAATTATTACTTAGGTAATATGAATAGGTAGAAGTAGGTAAAAATAAATTAATTACATAATATCTTCTAGAAGAGCTTTTTAGAAGCTTCCTAGATGTTGTTTTGACTTTACATGTGTTTGTAGTTGATTTATAGGTTAGAAACTTGGTCAACAAGCTAACCACATGCTACATGTATTGGTAGCTTATAGAACAAGTTAACTATGTGGCATCCATATAGAAAACTTATCTTGTAAGTTAAAATATGTATCATTCAAAGTCAATACATTTTT